GAGGTCGAAACTTCTGCTGAAGAAGACCTGATCGGAACTGGGAAGACAAAGTTTTTGCCCAGATTCTTACTCGTATCCATGGTAATAAATGATTGTATATAAGTAATGGAAACAAATATAAAGCTGCATGACTCAAGCATTAGTCATGGTTTAAACAAATTTCAAAATACAGATTTATTGTCTCTTATATAAATATAATATATGTAATGGATCGCTCGTAGAGTAGCTAAGGTCGGGTGATTGCAAGGGGCAGGGAGTTGCACACATACATATGCAGTAAGTGTGTATGTATTTAACATATGCAACATTTAATTTGAATTTGCCAGTACGACGGTTTTTTACTCGGTTTTATTCGCAGCGGAAGTTGTGGCAAAAGTTCAAAAAATGCATATAAAATACGAATGTGATTACAAATGCGATTGCGAATACAGAAACCGTTCGTAATGCTGACTGCAAGCTTTAATGAATAGCAACATGAATTGGCACAATCGAAATGCTTCATTAGTTTTGAGCCAGGCTGAAGTTTCGCGCATCCAATCCAATCAGCTGTTGGCACAAAGTCCTGGCCCGGCACCTTCCGGTTTTCTAGGCCGGGCCAAACACCTGCAAGCCCGTCTGGCGAGTGTGTGTCAGGCGTGTATTAATTTTATTACATACATGCACTAATGTGTGTGTATGTACTGTGCAACAAGTTGCGGTTGCTGTAGTCATGACTACCATTACAGAGGACATTATCGCCTTTCAAGCTAAGTATGTAACGCACTGAATGAAGCAATAGCAAAATCAGATCTCACAACTATATCATTTCGCTACGTTCGTTATACTTATAAGCCAAGGCTGCAAACTATCTTATGACCGAACCGGTTTGAAGCCGGAACTCAAATTTATTTATTTATTTATATAACAGCCAAACTTATACCTGAACCGCACCATATAAATTCACGTGGAAAGCAGGTTCGGGAACCCATCCCTAGAGTATGAAATTGATTCTCATCGTAACCAATTTGAAATATCTGTTCATCACATATCTGACATATGTTATTGATCCTTAGTAGATCTGCAAGGGTATTCAATGTTCATGTGCCCAAAGTTTGTTTTTTTTCTTGTTTAATATGCAGATTGTGTCGCTGACTTTAATACTTTGCAACATCGTCGATCATTTATTTCGTTGGCTGGTCTGTCTCTCCATCTCTCCGTCCGCCTTGCTGTCTATCTGAGTGGCTGCCCGGCTGGTGGCATGCAACGTTGGCGCGTTGCAGAAAAGCATGTCGTACAAGCGTTGTCGTCTTGTAAACCTGCAACACAGGCAACATGCAACAACTGCAGCAGTTGCCGCAGCTGGGCAAGGTGGTGAAGAGAACAACGCCGTTTCCTTCCACAATTTCCATGGCAACAATTTTAATTAAAAAAAAATAAAATAAAATAAAAAAACTACTCACAAGAAATATGCCATGGAGCAAATAAATTGCATACAATAAAAACAAAACTGTGAAATAAAATTAATAAAAGACAACATAAATATACGAATTTCGACAGTAGAAAGTTAAATACCCTTACTAATTTTTATAAAATGAAATATCATTTTGTTCAATATCGATTTATAAGGCATATAACTATACAAAACTAATATAAAGAAAGAAGAAATCAAAAATAGTATAATGTTTTCATCCTATTCTACACTAAAATTAATATACCCCAAGTCGATAGCTTTCCGCCTTTTATACAAAATCTGTAAAATCGATGAAGAAAAGCCTTCACCCAAGACATTACATAGTTTACTTGAAAATGAATGTACCCCTGCTGTCCAGTTCGGCGGAGTCCATGGGACTCATTGGCTGGCTTGTGCTGGCGCTGAGTGGGCCGAAACCGATTGTTAGCTATCGATAGTTAATCGCAGATACAATGACTGGGCTTGCTGATAAGTCATTTTTCAACAAGTGACCAGTGACTTTTAGAATTGCAATTAGCAATATCATAAATAGCTTATCTATCTATATTTCAGATACTTTTTGATTGGCATAACCACCAAACTCCACAGCTGCTGCCTATGCTAACAACTACTATCTAATTTGTAGAAAAGTATTAACTTGAATTTATTATCGACTTAATTAATTGCTCATAGGAAATATATAATTGATTAACTAACTAAGCAATCGCCCATCTCTAGGAAGGCCCGCTTAGACGCATAGCGTGTGTATCTGTGTGTCATGTTCATCCACGTGTGTGTGTTTGTTTGACTGTATTTGTCGAGTTTGAATTACGTTTTACAGGAATTTACAGATTGCGAACATTAATTTTCATGCATTGTACTGGGCAGAAGTGTTCTCCGCTGTTGACTGGGGATTTTATAGGTATGGTATGTAGTGTTATACCCTGTACCCAATTGAAGATGGGTATAAAATATTGCAGTTGTGCAAATGCTTGTAACAGGCATAAGGCGGAGCTGTTCGTACACATTTATATTATTGGTCACGTCTTGGTTAGGCGCCACGTTTTATATCACACATGATGGGCTTAGGCAAATAGAGATTTATTCATTGTTGAAAAATATTAAATCCTTTTACAAAGGGATTGCTTGCATTGCCTTCATTCGTCGCTTGACGCTTGCAATTCTCAACAAGCCTCGAAAACAGAAAATAATAATTGCAATCCTCATGCTCATAGCAGTCTGCTTTACCTGTTGGATTTATGGTTATTTCCTATGTGAAAAAACTAAAATTGTTTTCGAGCTGGCCAGATGAATATTATAATTTAATCAATAAAGCTAATTTAACCATAAATAAATATTTGTCTGTAAGCAAATTAATGCACTTTATCCGAAGCAAAGTGGAATTTTTCTGTGTGCGAACTTCATCTGGCTGTGGTATGCTAAGCTTATGTATGGGGCGTGGTCGGATATCATGGCAACAGATGTATTTTACATATGTATATGAAACATGTTTGTACATGCATGCATCTGCATGTGTGTGTACGTGTGTGTTTGTGTGTGTGCGACTCTCTGTGTGTACTGTGGCTTCCTCTTATCGTTAAGTGCGGGTTCAAATGTTGATAACCCATGACAACTGAAGCCGTCAGCACACATTTACATACATAATTTCAACGAGCCCAAAATCCAAATACCCAAATGGGAAAATCGTTTAAAAATGCAAATGCCGCCACATCGACCAAATAGTATTCAAATCAGTCCATGGTTCGTTGTCGTTTCCTGGCGCTGCATTTGTCAAACGCTGCGGAATAAATGAACCGCAACGACAATGCCGATTTGTATCTCATGGATACTGCAGCAATAACAATAACAACAACAACAGCAGCAACAACAACAACAACAACCGTTACTATACATATGTAAGTACAAAGCATATTTAGTGCGGACCTTAGCACGCGTGAAATATTTTCACATGGCACTTAATTTATTTGCAGGGCTTGGCCTGGCCTCAGCCCCAGCCCCAGCCGCCGCGCCAGCGCGTTTTCCAGGTGTGAGCGACCCACGTGGCCGCAGCTCGAGCTGAAACTGGGCAACTGGTCAACTTGTGTTGGTCTGCGTTGTGTTGTGTGATGCAGTCGCTGTCCATAAATCTGGGCTTTTGTGCACCAGCCACGTTCGTTAGTGACGCTTTTTTCGCGATTTGCCAATATTTGACGGGGGTATCTCAATAGCCCCGCCGAGATTAACCAACATTTATCTACAGCCAAGGCCCGCAAAGATATAGTTCTGTCCAATTCAATTGTGGCGTCGCGTCGTGCAGGCATGCGCCCAGAATTAATGGCATATCCCTAGGGTTCGATTAAAATTCTATCAATACAGCACATTGGAAATGGGTTAGGTCTCTGTATTCGTGCTGTTATTCGAAACGTTCGATCGCATACGGACTTTAACTGAAAAAAACAATCAAATGATTCGCGAGACAAATCAATTAGATGTAAACAAATATGAAACCACAGCACTTTTATCCCATTATACAAACAATGTTCTTGTAATTTGATATTGCACCAATGCAGTAACTTTTAGTTTTAATTTGCTAATCGCAGTAATTTAAAGGGACTTTATTATTAGATTATATGCGATCCGATGAAAACTAATATGCTGTTGTTAATAGTTGAAGGCACTCGCTGAATTAAATTAACCAATATTTTTATTTACTGCATGTGTGTCTAACCATAAACAAATACATTCTTTTGTTTACAAATGATATTCTATTCGAAAATGTTAAAGTACTCGAGCCGTGTTTTCATTATTTGATAGCTCGACACGTATAAACGCAGTTACCACGTGTGCGCCGTCAATCATCCGGGAATAGAGTGTGAGTTGGCGCTGCTATATATATGTATGTCGGGCCATGTCCACTCTATATATACTCATATATATTCATATATTATTGCCTATATAGTGCCGTTCAAATAGTACGTCACTTTAAAACCATCGCAACCTTATTTACTCAGCGGCCAGCACACAATTGTCGCTGTAATCAATTTCAAAGCTGTCACTTTGACACTTGAACGTTTATTCTCCACTTCTGCACCCTACAGATATGTATATATATATACCATATACACACACATACGTACATGTATAATCTATATACATATATATACCCCATACTTTGTCAAATGCCGTAGACAATACGTCTGTGGCCCATTTAAAAATGTCCAGTGTGTGTGTGTGTGTGTGTGTGTGTTTGTGCTTATTGTATTATGTATTTATCATAAAAACCATTTTATCGCCTCCAGCTTGGTTTGCTCCTCCCGTTAGAGCAAATATTTGTTCATTTGTTTGTTTGTTTGTTTGTTTGTTTGTCGCCTGTTCGAGTATTTGTATGCACTTTGTAGGTGGCTCTCATTTGTGCTGTCAGCATGGTTATCATATTCGGTGGCACTTTCTGGATACGTTGTTCTATGTTGGCCGGCACGGCACCTAGAACAAAAGACGCATTATTCAAGTTGTCAACATGAAGGTATTAGTTGGCCTTGCCTCTGCCCCCGGTCCGGGCCAGTTCAAATATTCAACAGGAAATGAGCTAGGGTCGGCACCTCGGGAAACTTTTGTTTTTAATGCTGCCGAATACGCTTCAAAAATTTAATACTAAATCTATAAATAAAAGAGGTTGTCTTAACTGAATGACTGAACGGTGTCCAAGCCACTGAAATGGTCATATTTTAATGAAAAGCATTTGTTGGAACTACTCAATGTAAATGACCATCAGGGCAAGATCTTGGATATTTACCATTTGTAATTGGTTATTAATAGACTGCGTACTGGAGTGAATTATCATAATGGAGTCATGTAATAGTTTTAAAGTGCACCTGAAAGTTGGAGCACAATAAAAATGACAGCTTTGAGGATTTACACTAATCAACAAACAAGGACAAACTATTTGATATATAGGGATTAAGAGAATGGTAAATTTTTGAACGATTTAACTTACACAGACATCAACAGAATACACAGACACCTCCCCGCCTTTGATCTGGATTTTATGCTATTCTTTTTGTGCTTTGCAGCTTGGCAGGATTCAGAAACTTTTTAATAGGTCAAGAGATAAAATAATAAACATTATAAGGATTAGACTATCCAAACAATGAAGTCTAGTTTTGCATATACTAGGTCTGAATTCGGGTACAGGGTATATCCTAATCTGGCACTTTTTTTTACATTTTTTATTATCAGTGGACAACTTGTAAGAGTTATGGTACTATCATTGTACTTGTACTTGTATATAAAACAAAAATTTGTTTGAGTTTGGTTTTTAGTTTTTGTTTTTTTCTGGAAAAAAAGCGCTGATAAATACATTTTGATGTGTGTGGATCGCAAGTTCAAGTTCTGGTTCGCCACCAGATATCATTGTGATTTATTATGAGAAACATTAACAAAAAAAAAAAAAAAAAGAAGCCGAATGCCCCTGTGCGCTCATATTATATATCCGTTTGAGTTGCGACCGATCCGCTCCATATCCAATAACCGTGCCTCAAAGCTTTTGTTATTTATTATCGCCTGGGCAAAATTGTTGGAACTGCGGCTTCTACTGGCGCTCGAAGTCTTACTGTTACTGGTATGGGCTCTGGGGCTGTGGCCCAGTGTCTAATCCCCTGATGACTCAATTGGCGCACAATGGGCAACTTTCAAGTGAAGGAATTAAACTCAAAATATCAGATCATATTCCCCCCATGAAGATACATACACACACACACACACAACACTCAGCCATTCATTCAGTAATTCTAGGCAGAACCAGCTGATCCAAGCAGTTTTTTTACAACTCATATAGAAGTATACCATATATGACAAATGGATCACATAACCGACTGCCGTCACTTGATGGTCATTGTGTGTGCCCCGATACTTTTATTTGATTATATTTTATTTTATCTTTTTTGCTTGTCTGCGAATGTGGTGGGAAAATTTGGGTTGCGGCCGTTGGAATGCTGATTTATTTTATGCAATCATAAGAAGCATTTTTAATTTCCATTTTTGAACTTATTGCGGAAGTTGCAGCTCGTTTTGCGCGCACGTCGAAATTCTTAGTGAAGTTCTGGTATTTCTTAAGTACATAAAATAATTTAAAAATTCTTCTAATGCTTGCTAACCCATAGCCAGGATTTTCCAAAGAAAGCAGCAGCTGCCCAGGGAGCATCACTCTTCAGTTTTCGGCCTTTCTAACTTTGGCACAACTAATGCTTACAATAGATACGTGTTTGATGCCATTCGGGATTATCTACTCTTATCTTAGTAGCATCTTCAACACAAGCGTAGATACACACACACACACACACTCGCAGAGTTTGACAAGTTGACGGAGACAGCTTGTAAATACGAGTACGCTGAAATTATAATTAACTAAATAAAATTATGATGGATGAATATACGACGGACGGCGTTAATTGCATACTCACGCAAAACAAGTTCCGAGATTTGCCAACTAAAACCATTTAACAAATTGAATTTGCATTTCAAACACGGTACAAGAGCATGGTGTACATATTTGCATTAGGGCGTCTCAAGAGTCTAAAAAAAAACTTCGAACTTATTTAACTACTCAGCTGGCAACGCTAATGTCTAATTAATTGCAATAAATTGCAGTTTCCTCGACATATTCACATATCTTCTGTCGATTTGTGAATAGATAGATATTCTACTGGCTATTAGTCGGCTCGCAAAAGTTCTTTATCCATTTCCCACAGGACTGTCAAATTCTTGTATTTACGACTTGTTTGTTTTGTGTAATGAAAGCAAAAACAAAAACTTTCGAGCATATATGTGTAAAATTGTCATTATACTGTAGAGTTTTCAAAATAAGTTTAAATCTCCTACAAACTTAGATCATTATTAGGCAGCCAATGAGTTGGGTATTCCGAAAAGCCTAAAACATGTATCCCATATAACTTTCTCAATCATTTCTCAATCATCATAACGAAATGAGAAAAGCCAATCGATTGGTAAACCGAAAACAGACGTATAAAGTGGCGAGAACAGGAAATATTGATCAGTCAGTCAGTTAGCGTTTTGTATACATTTTTGAAATGAATTAATGCACAATTAGTGAAAGTGTCTCTTAACAGTTTATAATATTCCGCAGTGGCTTGAACCACCCTAAGCTGCGGGCACCAACAGATGGAAAAACTGCGGCATTGGCACGCATTCGAAAATGTGCGAGTGTCGTGTCAATTGAAATGCTTTTCAGAAAGCTAAAAGCAAATCGAACTGCACTGAAATGCATTTATAATGAGTTAATAAGCGCACACCTGTTGCCTTTGACGGCAGCGAATGCAGCTAGCGAGGTAATTAAGAGATTTACCTGGCCCCAGGAACACGCCGAGAGTTGGGTCCAAGTGCATACCGAGAGCGAGTCACATAAATTGAAGTCTCTGGCTTTGCTATGCCTTGTTTTGCAATTTTAATTGCAAATCGCAGCGATTTGTAATTCTGCGCCAAGTAATTTATTTGCCATAAAAATTACATAGTGTTCGATTTGTGATCAGGCCAGATTGCATGATGATCAGGGGACTGCATCCATCGGGCGGCTACTCGATTTTCAAACTCAATTGGCGCCAACTTAACAACCGAGCACACGCTGCACAAGATGGGGAACCTTATGAATTATGCACGGCAGCCATTCGTAGATACGCGTGACTGATTGATTGCATTTGGGGAGCGTCTCGCTTTCAGTTTAGTAGAGTAATCAAATTAATTGATATAGAAATCGGTAAGTATGTTAGCTCGGCCAACGACTCGCACACAAAGTTGCAATTTTCAACGTCTGTTGGGATTCACCAACTGAAAACCAAAACAAAAGAAAATGAAATGAAAAAAATGACCTAACAAACGTTTCAGAGACATTTCAAATTTGTTTGCTGTCGAAAATATTACAATTTTCATTTGTAAGATTCTCGCGCGCGCTCAGCGTGTAAGTATACAAAAACAAAAAAACAAAAACAAAAATGAAATAAAATTAAATAAAAATGACGAAAATAAATTCGCACCATCCGACAGATACAGCCACAGATGCAGCAGATACTTTTTAGGCACTTTTACTCAGCAAAATGAGAAAAAGAGAAAACCGAAAGCATGAAAAAACGCCGTGGATTAAATACCCTTTCAGACATTTTTCATAAACTAAAGCTTTACTTTAGACCGATTGTTCCCATGGCAGCCATATGCTTTGGCTTGCACCCCTGATTGATACTGAAAAACAATTCATATATATTACAAGTCGTTACACACGTCGTGACAAAGTGTAATACCCTCTAACAGGGTATAATGATAAACTGAAACAACAACATTAGCGCCTGGCTGGCGCAGGTTTTCGTACAAACGTGTATTTTTGGCTAAACAAAAAATCCAACAAGTTTTCCGAAATATTTTTTCAACTTAAATAAGAATTCGTGTATTTCTTGTTGTTGTTTTGTTTAATTTGTTGTTTCTTTTTGACATGAACAAAATAAAGTGCAAAGCATATAATTTTGAACTTGGCAGCAGACGAGATGAGAGGACAAGTTGTAATTGTTGGTATAGATAGATGGTTAGATGGATGGCTGTTAGAAGTCGACTAGCAGACGAAAAGTATTTGCAATTGCATTTGTATCTGTATCTGTATCTGTATTTAGTAAATGTGGCACGGCTGCTGGCGATGGGGGTGGCGGGTGGCGGATGGCGGCTGCGTCGGAGTTGGCGTCGCATTTGGCCAGACAAAATTGTTGGCTTTTGTTGTTCTTGGGGGCTGACCAGCCACGTCACCATCAGCCATCAGCCATTACCCAGCCGGGCCTCGTCGCCGTCGCCGTCGTTGTCGTTGTCGTTGTAGTCGTCATCCATATGGCAAACTATTTTTAAATATGTTTTAATTATTTGCTGCCATATTCCTTAAAGCATTGACTAGTCGCCGCCGTTGCCGTCTGCTGCTCCTCTGCTGCGGCTCTGCTCGGCCACAAGTAATTTGGGCCGCCTCAGGCAACATGTGCAACTACTTTGGAGGTTTTTCAATTTGTTTTTGTTTCCCGTGTTTTTTTTTTCTGTTTATGTGTTTTCTTTTTTGCTGCTTACACATTTTTTTTTTTGCAAAATACATTAAGTGTGAAGTTTCTGCTATAGAAATATTATTGTCGCGTCTAGCATAAGTGTCGCAGCTTGCGTGTAATTTTGTATCTTTCAGTCAACCAGAGTACACAGTAGAACACAGCTTCAAAATTAAGGCCACAAGAATGTTGATCCAAAACATTCGTGGTATTTAACGACTGATGTAAAAACCAGAGCTATAAAACCAAAGAAATATAGTTGCTGGTTCGATTCATGATTAATCCAATATTTCCAATTTTAGTTTGGTTTGTGAATCATGTGCTCCACATGCCAAAAATGCTTTGGCTAGAAAACTGTTAAAAACCGGCTTATTTAATTGGTAAGAGCATAAGCAAATACTCAAAGATAGGCCCCACTTAAACAATCAGATTTTGTCATATTTTAAGAAATGACCCCGATGAAATCGAAACTCATGTTGCAGAGTGTTGTTCTTGGACTTTTATAATGTGCATTGGATGCTGGCGATGGCATAGACGAAATTCGTTTCATTTCATGACATTTTTTTTATATGTACGCATATATATTTTGGTATAGCTGTATCATTAAGAGCCTATATGGATGCAGCCGCGCCCAGGCTGTGTTCTGTAGCCATGGAGAACTCTAGAGCAAGGCAAACATTGGTCAGCCGCAATGCCGAGTAGCTGCTGTATCTGTGTCTGCCTCTGTCGCTGTATCTGTATCTGTGTCTATGTCTGTCTGTGGCCTTTGTACAATACAAATTCTCTGTTTACTTAACTGGCAGCAGCCAAGTTTTAAGTCGCCCCTCTCAGTCTGCCCATATACCCTCTCCTCTCTTGCCTGTCCCTACCGCACCACCGGCTTCACGGGACAAGTTGACTAAACAAACCGCCGATATGCTTATGCTCGCTTTACAGGCTTCTTCCCGGCAGTCAGCAGTCGGCAGACGATGCCAATGAAGCGAGAAAAATTACTGTTTGTTGTACTGCGGGTTGTATAAGTAGTTGTGGATTTGTTAAGTGAGTTTGTCAACATGAGACGCGCGCATCGCACCAACAGATTCAAATAGAAATGCTGACTGAGATGGAGTTGGAAGTTGGCGCTGGAGCTGGAGCTGGAGTTGAAGTTGAAGATGGAAATATAGAGATACAAACAAGTATCGCGGCGAACCGTTAGAGAGACGACGTTACCTGGAAGCCGCGCTGGCCGCCGGCCGCCGGCCGCAAGACCAAGACCAAAAAGCCAAGCCCAAGACTCCAAGTTATCCAAGCTACCAACACAGCAACACTCCAAGAGACACCAAGCATTTTTCTGCTGAAGTCCAGTCGGTCTGTTGCCGTTGTTGTCGGCATGGGGGCTGTAATTGTAATTGAATGCCAAGCACTGGCATGGATGGTCACTAAGTATTGCTGCCGCCTAAGCCTTGGCTGTTTGTTTTAGGCCTTTGTCTAGGCGCACATTTATGGGTTGTTGTCTCCGCTAAAAACGGAACCGGACTCCAGACCTGAACGCCGCTTGTTTCCTTCAGCTGCAGCCTCTGGCTTTGCCTCTGCCTCTGCCTCTGCCTCTGCCTCTGCTGAACATGGCAATGGCTACGGCAATGTCAGCAATTACTCATTTATGGCCAGTGCCAGTTCATTTTTCGCATTGGCTTCCACGTTTAGTTTTTGCCTGGTTATATCCCCTTCGGATTCTGAAGCCCTCCTCATTGATTTATGCATTGGTCGTTAGTGCGTGCGTTGTCCACCGCATTCATGCATAAATCGGACTCGGGTCGGAGTCGGAGGGGACCTTCCTCGGTCTTTGCTTTACGTTCTTGGGTGTCTTCGTCATGTTTTCTATTTATAAAGATTACTTGCAATTAAAATGAGTCCAACAGATCTCGGCACTAGTATCAAATCATCCAGCAAGTTGTTATGCTTGTTCTATATGTACATACATATATACCGTATGTGTACCTACAAATGAATTCACATACATACGACCATTTCTATCTCACTCTCCTTCATACGTGTGTGCCTCTATCTTTCTCTCTTAGATTGCTGTTGGTTGTCAGTTGCCCGTTACCAGAGTTCAATTGCATTGATAGCCCCAGTGGCGTCAAATACTTGGCGCTCGTTCTTGTTGTTGCCCTGGAATCACCGAAGCTGAAGCTAGTACATAACTGGATTCCCGATTGCCAACGGCAGCAACCTGTTGCTCTCCAAAAGACTCCGGGTCCGCTACAACCTAATACAAATCTTCCTAGAAACTTAGTTTCAGAGTAAAGCACAACTATTTGATACTCTTGTGGGGGGAAACTTTCTAAATTCCCTTTAATAGAGACATGCGAAAACCAATTAAAAAAATATACATTTTTATTAAATAAATCTGCCAACTGAGTTTATTATATAAATGTTGCTAACATGCTAAATACACATTAATAAATGATTGTATTTTTGTCTACATACAACTTCTCTTTGGCATTAACACTTATGCGGATCATTAAAAGCTCAAGTCGGGCCAATTGAATCTCTCTGAAATATCAATTTAAGCATTATGCCGTTCTATGCTAGAGCATTCCTGCTATTTTATTCGTCTAGCTCTTATGTCAAGCTGAATACCATTAAACAAAATCAAAAATTACTTAAGAATTTTTTTTAAAAGTCATGCATTTCGAGCATTTTCCAGTGGAGCGCGCTGTTCCCATTTAATAGCTATTTGAGCTGAGCTCGGAGCTGACCTGCTGATAAGCGATTTCCACTTAGATTCGATTATTGTCCGTCCAGATTTGTCTAAGTACGGTATTATGTTTGAACTCTGACACATGCACAGCCACACACTGTCAGAACAGTGCTGTTTCGTCGCCTTATCAATCCTAGTTAGATGTTCTGGTTGTAGTTGTTGTTGTCATTCAGTCAAATGCACACACACACACACACACATATGCATAGTTGATAAGCAAACTTAATTTTGTGTTTGTTGTCTCGTCGCTGGCCGCAATCGCACTTCTAGAATTCTATTTTAATAGGGCATTAAAAATAAATATTTGTGTTTGATTCCATGTATGTGCACAATATGATATGTACATATTTATATTGTGCCTGTGTGACAGATTATCAGTTTCGGTTTTAACGTCAGCTTCATTTAAGTTTTAGTTGGTTTCGGTCGCTCCAACAGAATGTACTGCCCGAGCGACTTTTGGGGTTATCATGTTGATTATTTAATGCACGGCTGTTTGAGGCATTTTCTTTTCAAGACTTTGATTTTAATATGCCATTTGACACAGTTTGACATGCAGTGGCTAACTTACGAGTACTAGCATGTAATTACCCCGACTATATGACTATATGACTTTTTGATTTACTTATCTGTCTGGCGTCTAAACTCTGGCCCCGCTCAGACATTGTTCATGTTGCCAGCGCATGCATTTTTTCAAATAATCGAAGTAGATCCCGAACTCTAGCCCCAGCGCCAACACTTTGTGTTTCGAAAGGCGTATCAAAGATTGAATGTGCTGTTATATAATTAAAAATTCAAATTTAGAGGGCTTACATTATTTATTTGTGGTTTCCTATATATAAATAATTATGAAAAGTGTATCAAAGATTGATTATAAAACTAAAATATAATTTAAGAGGCTTTCATCAATTTATTAGTTCATTTCTATTAGAGTAATTATGACGATTTCTTAACGTTTGAGGCAAACCAAAATTTGTCTTCAATTCAATTTTATACTTAACATTCACATTCGCTGCGAGGAGAGGAATTTGTTCGAATCCCAGGAGGAAGCTCGTACTTATGCAGTTGAATATCTAAATTGTATGTTAATGGTGTTGCTAACTATATATGTTTGATTATATACGTCCTATACACAATCTATTTGTTCTTGGTAACAGTTTGTCAGGCAGCTTCGGGCTGGCCATAGATTTCTTCTTCGGCTTCTTTCTCGCTTTTAGCATTTGCATCTAGCATAGCTCACATTTTTATAGCAATTCATGTCTATATTGTCTTTGTTTTTGCCCGTTTGCATTTTATATATTTTTATTTTTATTCGTCTATGCAGTCTTTTACTTTGTAGCTGTTGCTTTTGTTCTTTTGTTTTTGTATTTGTTTCTTTTTCACCGGCGTCGACGTCGTCGCCAAGTGAAACTGAAAATTGCAACTAAATGCCGTGCTCATCACTTGTAGACACTTTAGAATGCGCTATGTATCTATAAGATACAAAGATACGCGGACACTCAGACAGAGAGACAGACAGCGGCCAGACAACAAATGAGACGCAAATGGAATGCTGAGGTGCTGCACACACACACACACGCATATAGGTATATATATATATATTTACTAAGTAGACACTTACATACATGATTTATACAATACGGAAAAGATAACTTTAAATGGTCGAGCCAGGGTAAGATCTATTCTAACAAGTTTAAAAGCCCAACTTGTCAGAATTTTATGCATAGGGATAAATGCCGTACCTTGTTCAACTTATTTAGTAGATTTGCAATTATATTATCATTTTAATTACAAGTATTTTAATTATAGTCATTACAAACTATGAATCTTATGAATAAAACTGGCTGCCAAGCTGGCCTGGGGCTAAGACACAGCCTGATCCATGCACTACCCATGAGGTGGCCTGAATGAATGGGTCACTCAGATAACTGGACTGCAGCTGTGATATGTTATTTATTGGATTGGCTAGGGCCCATTGCCTTGCCTTAACAGGCCACACCCTCTACACACTGCCAGCAACAATCGGGAAATTTGCCTTTTGTATTGACGAGATCATTTTTGCAATTGGCAAAGGTCACTGGTTTTTGACAACTATGAGGGGACCTGGCATTAAAGGATGATGTAGCTTTTGGGTAGAGCCATCAAAACTTACAATTGATAGACGCCATTGCCCTCTTTATCCAGGCACACAAATATTCCGCATGTTTTCTCATCTGGGACCTCATCACCAACTTTAACCTCACTTTTCCCAGTAACGCATCCGTTGACTATACTTATGTGGGGGACAGAGAAAGAGAGAGAGACAGAGAAAAGTGAGTACAACAAGTGTATGATTCATCACATTCTTACCGCCCTTGCCCAAATGCACCAGATGTACCAAGGCATTGGCACTGCAGACCAGCCCGAAGAGAATAATGTATATCTCACAGATATGTTTCATAATGATTCAGTCCGCACAATCGATGCAAAAATGCTTCTAACTGTGGCACATCCACTCGAGATTTGCTTTTATAGCAGGGAAATCAATATTCGGCTACTCGCCTACGACTACGAGTACGAGCAGTGGTAATATGTACGGGCAAATAATGCATTGATTTTTGTATACACATATTCAAACTCTACATTAAATCATAAACAATTCCCTTGTGTCACTGGGCACCATCCCAGACTCCTCCAATCGTAACACGAATCGATTGTTTAGTTTATTTAGTGCAGGGGCTGTAAATAACGATTTTTTTACTTATTTAATCAATAAACGTATTAGACGTATGAGAAGACGAAATCTGACAGTGTGATATTTTTGTTCTAATTGTTGTTAAGGTCTTGAGTTTTCAGAGTATTCTTCTGTGATTCATTTTACATCAAATGCAAATCACGTTGAAATATTACATGTAAATAGGATTTTGTTTAAGGTTTTACAAATTGAAAAAAGTATATGTCATTTTTCCTGGCATGTAGACAACCAGGTTCACGAATTTGGGAGTTGCATGGGAACATGAACCGAAGCACTTATATTTATTGGGGGGCATTGCAGCCCTGATCAGTATATCATGTGCTGTCAGTTATAAAGCATTTGAAAAGTATGTTGACACAACTCGGAATCCAATGCAAAGATGACAGTCTAAGCCATAACGAGATGAGCGCATATTTTTCATTATTAAAAATAATATGAATAAGTGGCGTTAGATCCGGCTATGGTGGCTCGATTCTTCTGTATGAGGGAATCGGAAAGTTAATTTAACTGGGATTAAAATCAAAGCAACTTGGAGCACATGCTCAGCACGTCAAGCACTGAATCTAAGCAACGTACTTCGTCGACTTATCCAGTGCGATGAGAAGCTTGTAATATCGTTCTCCATGCGAATACACAGTGCTTTCCTTTGTCTACTGCTCGCAATGTGTCTGCTGTCCTCAATCATGAACACCATTGGCTATCGACTCGTCAAGGTGAGTGGGGGGTGGGGGTCATCTGTGTGTTGTTTGAAACGTGGCGAATCTGATGCATGCAACCCTTAGCGGCATCATCGAAAGCGCATGGCGTGGCCTCAAAACCTTTACGCAGACTTTGCTGCTATCAATAGTGCAGCTGGAAGAGAAGTTGAAAGCCAAAGCCCCTTGACGGATCCATCTGGAAGCAGTGGAGGAGCCGCAGGAGGAGGGAATGATGCTGGCGGAGCAGGTTGCGCTGAATCAAATACCGACAAACAATGTGATGTGAAAAAAATATTTACTCCCGGTGATCCCAAGCAAAAGTCCTCCAGCATAGCCATGAAGGCGGCACAGGATGCGAAGGCAGCTAACGAGGCGCAGCACGCAGCCGGCCAATTGGCTGCCCAGCACATCAAGCAGGAGCTGGCCGAAAAGGCATTCCAGTCAGCCAAGGCAGCCGAAGCGGCGCTCACCGGCAAGCAAATGGTTGTCCAGCAGTTGGAACAGGAAATGCAGGAGGCCAATGCTGTTGTGGAAGAGGAGACTGTCTCGCTTCAAAACACGGAGGCCAACATGAATGCCGCAATAGAGGCGGCTCGCGCCGCCACGAGCCAGTTTGAGGCGCTCACCGCACTCCACAAGACGATCAAAGAGAATCTGAGCAACATTCAGACTGTGGCCATGGGCTCACAGCAGGAAATGACCGCCAAGGTGCAGCTGCTCGAGGCGGCCAGGAATCGTTTGGGGACCCTGTCAAAGCAGCTTCACAGCGCACGCGAGGACTACGAAAAGACCAAACAGGCGGCATATAAAGCAGCCTGCGCTGCAGTCGAGGCCAAGCAAAAGGCCTCCGCCAGCACCTTCCGACAGCGACGCAGCCGAAGAACTCACAACTACCTGCCACTCGATATACATTCGATTATTTAGCCTACAATGCCATTATTTTATATTTTTTAAGAAATAATTAAAAGTTTAAATTTCAGATGTGACATTAGCCCCTTTAAGATCAACAGCTTCGTCTTAACTAATTCAAACCTCATTTTGCCACGTTTCTAATCCTACGTAAATATATGTCATATGTACTATATGAAAACGTATCCAGTTACTAAACTGTTTATCCTGACTGGCAGATTTACTGATTGGCTGGTTAGCTAACTGACGGATTGACGGACTGATCAACGCATCGTTTACTTTTACCTTTATCTTATGAGACGTAAGTGCGCGGAATTATAGCTTAACATCAAATGGGCTCTAATCTCACTTTAAAAATCGGCGCACTTAACACGTGTTTCATTATTCGGAAGAACACTTTTTGGTACATGTACTGAATTTTTTCATTTTGCGCTCGGTTGGGCAACGCCGGGTAACGCCAACCTACTACACGTGTAAATAGAGCCACAAAAAAATGCAATGCTTGTGTTTGCCAAACGATTAAATTCAATTAAAAATTAAAAATACATATGTATATCAATGATTGGATTTTGATTTCTCTCAGAATTAAGCTGCGTTACATTTTTGTAAGAATTACCTTGTCAGGTGCACGAACACGTGTGTAAAGGTACCCGAATTGCCTGCAAGAATTTATACTATAAAAGGCATTTTCACTATGCAGAAATTACAGTTTTAATTGTTGCATTCACTGTACAATTTGAACGATCATGAAATACTTTTACGCGAAAGTTGTTATCCTGATTAGTTTCGCGTTTTGCATCAGCGCGTTAGTTCATTACCAAAAAATGGAGAAAGGAGGTAACCAACAAATATTTGAATTATGCGAGATGCACTTATGTGTCAATGTGTTTAGCGAACGGGTGTAGAACCAAAAGTAATAAACCACCAGCTGCTGCAGGTGGAGCCGCTGCTGGTGCAGCTGGTGGTGCAGCTGGTGGTGCAGCAGGCGGTGCAGCAGGCGGTGCAGCTGGTGATGCAGCGGGTGGTGCAGCTGGTGGTGCAGCGGGTGGTGAAGCTGGTGCAGCTGGAGCAGCTGGTGCAGCTGGAGGAGATGCTGCAGCACCAGCCGCAGGAGAAACTGCAGCAGCGCGAACCGGTGCGGCCAGTGAAGGAACGGAGCTACTAGTGGGTGGAATTCTTAAAGATGAGAACACATGCGGAGTCTTCGTATGCCAAAATACAGAAGGCGACGCCCTGATTCATTAGTAAGTTGAAGTGGATAAAGGTATATCTTCAGGACAGTTAGTTGATATCCTTTACCAATAGTTGCCAGAAACCAGCTCCTTTCGAAATGTGCAACGGCGATGGCGTCTCGACAGTGACTCCATTTCCTGAGTGCTGCTGGAAGTGCGTAACTTTCGTCAGTTGTGCTAGCGCAGAAGCGAAACCAGGTCAAGCTGGTCAACCAGGTCAAGAAGGTCAGAATCCAGAAGCAACACCACCGGCCACAAATTGATCTTCGGACTGGGCTTTATGCAATTATTATTGAAATTAAACATGACTGCACGACAAATCAAATTTGGGTAGTTCGGTTCGCGGCTCAAAATACCGGGCCGGCCCTTGGATGCGCTTCGTCAACGTGGTTTTCCACAGACATGCATCCATGTTTTGCTTTAAGGCTTGGTAGGTCAAATATATTCAAAATTTTAATAAAACAAACCGATTTATAATAGTTTATAACAAATTGTTATTTTTTTCTCTTATACCAAAGAAGATGATACTTAAATTAGTTCGTGAAATGTGTTACCTATGTACATAACGTATATATATTCGTAATTATTAGAAAATTAATTTCATTTCTGTTTACCAAGATGTCTTGGCAAAACTCGACCTGGAATAGTTTCACTAACTTCACTACATATACGCAAAAGCCTATCAATATCGAGCAACTATATCATATAATTGTCATTGGAATTTATTAATTTCAGTGTGTTTCTGCTGAAAACTTTTCCACTCGCAAAAATGTTCGTATGACAAATGCATTTTTGAAAATTATATAGTTAGCTTCAGATGTCGGTTGAAAAGAAATGAAAATTCGTCGCAATCTAGCGCATTGTGATAACTTGTAGATAACTTTTTATTTACCCTAAATCACACACCGAACCGAACCGTTCACTTTAATATGAACAATTTAGTTTAAATTGTCAAACGATTTTTATTTAAATTAATTTGTAAATTATTTGAAAGCTTGAAATGTAAAAGCGAAGGCAATATTTAATATCACAGTTAAATCAAGCCCAAACTCAAATGCAAAAGAAGAAACTAACCAAAAATTGATGCTCTTAAGGATCAGGCAAAGATATGTCTTAAACATTTCGGTGCTCCTCAGCCAACCCAACCCTTGGTCTGGGCTCGTTTTTAATTAGCCGCCGCAGGGTGAATGCGCACAAACTCCATGGGCAGGGGGCAGGTCCGGTCAGAGCGGGCAGCGGTCTGTTTTGTTGAGAAGGGGCCGTGGTCCTTCAACCCGAAAAGAGGCAAGCGAAAAATTGAAAATTAAAAAACTACAGGAGATTCTTTTACTGTGTGCATATAGTAGGTACGACGTGTATGTATTATACCAAAAATTGAGAACCGGGCCTGACAATGATCTGCTGCTCATGAAACGCAGGCAGCGGCAGAAGCAATGGAAACAACAATAACATCAAAAAATAAAAATAAAAAAATGAAAAAAAAGCTTCTCAAACCCAACAATATGTGCGTTTCGGTTGACGATGACAGGGTGAGACCCTACCTCGTGTGGAAACAAGTCTTTGGATTTGTTTATTGTAACAAAAAATAAGAGATAGGATAGTATATTTGGCAATCCTGGTGTACATACACACACATACATACTCAGACAAATAATAATGCATGCTCATATTTCACATATGTATGTGTGTCTGTATCTTCCTTTTCCTAACACACATGTCTCCATATAAATATGTATGTATGTATGAATGTACACACGCACAGTTCATTCCTCAAGCTGTCCAAGATCATAGCAATTAGGGGTTTTAAATAGTGTCTAGTGAGGCTTAACTTTAATTCCTACTGAAATCTGCATTTCCTACCATGGCGGTCCTAATCAAACCTAAACGTGTAGGGTACACGGCACAGCGAAGACGAAATCTTGCTGCTCTTATTAATTGAGTGAACATGTCGAAAAGTTGACAGGCAAGAAGCGCAACGCGGTGAATTAAAATACTCGCCGACCAAACCAAAATAGTTATATCTGGAGTTTTCCCTCGTCTTTCCCCCTTTCGAAAAAGTTTAATTTTATTTTGTAATAGTTTTTGATTTTAAATATTACATGCATATATGTATATGTACATACGTGCGCACGCACATGGCTGTCCGTATGACAAACTTATGTGAATGCAACCAGTTGCTACGTATGCCAACTAGCATATTGTCAGCTAGAGCGCTTCGAGCCATAAACGATCGAACGTAAAACAGAAACCATGCGGTCGCAACATGTGTGCTGTGAGAAGGACGACTACAGCATGTAGCAAGCCGGCAGCGTAATGTGAGCAAGAACGTGATGGCTGTAGTATCAGGCAACAACATCAACAAAAAACAAATGTCAAGCTAATAGAAATGCGACAACAAATAAAACGCACAGCGTGTAATGAGAGGCAGAGCAAGAGCGAGGGAGAAGGAACAGTTCTCTCTCGTTCTCGACTATCATAGATATAGAGCCAAAAGAGAGCTGTGTTAATTAATATGTTGGCCGCTTAACAGCGCTTGTTCACAACTCTCGGCTTGCAACATGTTACTGTTAACTTAACAGACACGCCGAACTGTTGTATTTGGAACTTAACTTTTGTACTTTATATCAAACTTGTTTCCATTTTTACCGTTACAGTTGATCGTGTGCCGCGTGCCCTGTTGGACGTCTGCTCGCTCGTCTCTCGAGGCATTTAGAAAAATAAAAATAAAAAAAAAGAAACTAACTCTATGTTGCCACCCGGGTGGGTCAATCTCGAAAGCCACGAGGGCAGCAACAAAAAATTGATTTAACAACTATCTTTTGCGGAATCCAAGCACCGCACGTGCTACATATACAAGGGCTTGCAGCAGCATGAGTTACCAAACCGTAGGGCAAGTCTTCGGATCCTCAAGGCCCTCAAATATATCACTAGGACTAGAATAAATAAACCACAGCAATTAGAGAACGCAGAAGCAAATCACCTAGAAGATACTTTCAAACAAAAAAGAATACTTCAACAGACAAGTGCGTCGTGCCGCAGGTCTCAAAGAATCGGTTAATTGAATCAATCGAAAAGTGTTTTAAAAAAAGAACTGCTACAAATCGAACCAACTTTTAATGAATTCGCATTTTGCGATTGCTGTTGTGATTGTGGTGTGTGTGTGTGTGGTGTGTGTTCAGGATTTTAACACCTTGACACTGCGGCAAAGCGTGTTTCACACATTTCCAACAAAATTACGCAAATTATATATATGTAAAAATACAAATCACAAAATTGCTTAAAAACTGTGATGGACGTCAGACTCTGACACTTGACACGTGCTCAGTTGCAGGTATAGCGCCAGGCGGCGTATGCATACATATATCAGAGGGTCAGGGATAAGTGTGACTAAAATCTAAACGCAATTAAGTAAATTCATCAAATTATAATTAACACGAATGCTACGCAAAACATTAATAAAGTGTTACTACTTCCACAAGGCAAATGGCAAATAGAGGGCATACAGACGAGCTTCCAGCACATTGATGGAAATAATCATCAAATCATGGTTTTGTAATTAAGCAACATTTTTAATTATGAACCCAGTGATAAGTCCAGTAAGCAGGTAATCCTTAATTGTAGTTAGTAACGCCGTTTTTCCATTTCGGTTTAAACTTCTGAGTAAAACATGTTAAAGCATGTTCATTCTCTCAATCATTTGTCAAGGTCATCAAAAGCCCGCCAAAATGATTAAGATACATATATATCTAAGAAAGTTGTTAACATTTGGTATACATTATGAATGCATCTAAAAAATACACAATTCGGGTAAATTCTTTGGCGATCATGATCTGATTTCCTGACCCTATTTGTATGCCATGTACACAGCTCTCTACTCAGGAATCAATGTCATGCACTGACAAAATATCTATGTTTTCATCAATATATATGTATATACAATTTATTATGCATTTCAAAATTTATAGAACTAACAATTATCATCGTCAAAATTAACACCACATTGTTGTTGTCAAGCACGTTTGAACAAATAGCAGAATGTTAAAATGGTTCGATGTTGCGCTTGGTTCGATGTTGTGTTGCTTGTAGCCTGTAAGAGTGTAACAGTGCCATTGTGAGTTAGCATTAACGTCATACTCAAACTTCACTTTTAGTTTATGTACAAAAAAACAAAAAAATGAAATAAGTTGATTTTCAATCATTTTTTGTGCTGCATTAAAACGTTACTCATTTGGATATGTTGCTCTCAAACCAATAACGAACTTGTTTAATTGGTTTAATGTAGCACGCTTGGTTCGATGTTGTCTTGCAACCGGTTGCCTGCTTAACATTTGTGTGTTAACAATAACAGATAATGTCAACGTCGCTGTTAGTTCAATTCAAAAAAAATTTTGAATTTCCGCCCGCCTGTTTCTCAATTTTTTTCGTGTTTCTCAATTCTTATTTGGCGCTCGATCGCGACGGTCACCATCAGTGCAACTGTTGCTCTCACACCCAGTGCCAGTGTGCACACGCGTTCATACATGTGTATGTATGTGCGTATTTCCGGTGTCAAAAAACCATAAAACGAATAAAGTGTAAAGATTCAATTATCGGTTATTCATAAAAATACCAAGCGTCGTATACTTGCATATTTTTTATATCAATATAATTGAATCTGTGTCTGTATGTGTGTGTGTGTGTGTGTGCGCGCGCGCGTTACTGTTGTGCGCGCAGCGACTGGCGCCAACATCGATTTAATTATAAATACATCAACAATAATAATAATAATAATAACAATAATAGCACCATCGTTGATATGTACATAAATACACTCGTACATACATCTACATCTACATCTACACCACTGTGCACTATTGTTACACACGCTGGTAGGCGTTGCTTTTTGCCATATTTCTCTCTCGTCGCCATCACGCGCTGCGGTACATAGTTAAGCTCGCCGTTGGCGTCGGAAACACACCCGTAAAAAGCCAGCAGCTCAGTGCTGGGGTATCTGCATTCATAAGGAAATGTGTCACTCGCCAATTGAATAGAATCGAACTGAATTGGAAATGGTTTAAAATCAAAGCTCGGAGATGAACTCAGCTCGATTTTGGCAATGCTGGCTGCGTTTCAAGCTGAAGAACTTCCCAGCTTTGGCTAAATCATAATTATACATTATAATACTGTGTACTACGTGAAACAAAAAATAAGTTACAGTACAATCTGTTTGCTTGCAATTACTTATTTGCAAGGACATCTGTTCACATCTTACCGGGCAGCATTAGATTCTTGATTTAAATAATTCTAATACTGTCAGGTAAAGATGTCGTCCGTGTCCTTATACATCATAAATCCAAAATAAAAGAAAGAGTTTGTTTTTTTTTTTTTTTTGAATGCAATTTAATTTGCGAAAAACCATAGCCGAAAACGTAAATCGTAAAACAAGTTTTTCAATTGTGCGTGTAGGAAAACTTGCCAAGCCTGCGACTGCCAAAGGG